GTACGGGCCAGCCGAGCGCGCGTCCAGCACCGTCTGCACAAACCTGGCTGGCCTTCAGCTGGCCTGGGTCTTCCGCACTGCTGCCATAGGTAGCACGAGTTGTTGCCTCTGACATAGGCAAGGTGAACAAAACCAGTGACATTCGGGTTCGGGGGAATGCCCGAGCCCTGACACAGGCTGCCCAGAGAGGCTGTGGAGGCTCCTGCCCTGGAGATCTCCAACCCGCCTGGATGCGCCCGGGTGCCCCGTGCTCTGGGTGTCCCTGCTGGAGCAGGGGCTGCACTGGGTGATCCCTAGAGGTGCCTTCCAACCTCAACCATTCTGGGATTGTGTGAATTTTGGAATGGGACCTATTCTGTCATCACTCGTGCTGGAAACTGTTTATAATGGAGTGCTGGCATGCGTGCTCTGCACCGGAAGCCTGGAGTTGCATTTTATTGGCACTTTTCGGTTGCCAAATTGTGAGTCATTAATTGTTTTATTGGCTATAGAATTGACTTGAGACTTTACTTTGCCAGGAAATACTTTCTAGAGTATCTCATGGTGCTTTGCAAGCAGCTCGGTCAAGGAGCCAAGAGCGTGGGGGTGACGCGGGAGCTGCGGAGAGCTCGTGCGCGTCCCGCGTCCCGCGCGCCGGCCGGGTCCGTGCTGCTGAGACCGCCACAGGGCACTGCGGTTTTGCTTCAGGAGCCGCGTTTTCAGTGGGAATAAATCTGTTCTGAACACAAGGTGCTTCCATTGCTTGTCTTAATTCAGTGGCCATCAGCTCTGGCAGTTCATTGCAGGTTCTGACTTCCTGGATACTACCAGGTGCTGTTGGTGCTTTGAGGTCTTTAGTACTCGACATGGTATCACAGCAGCACAAAACCATGTTACCTGCCCAAACGGGTTCATCACTGGTTCACTCCTGCGGTCATCACGTACCCTGGGATTCACATTGACGGACCAGATGCATCTAGTGACTCCTTCTGGGTCACTATTTTATTTTTAATTTTAATATCTGTTTCTGCCTCATAAAATTTTTATCTGGGGGGAATATATCTGCAGTTTGTGCAGTTCTGTTTTGCCTGGGCTTTTTCCTACTCCCAAGATCATCATCAGGTTTGTACATGAATTCTCTTATGGACCTTTTGGCCTGCATGGTAGATGGTAATTTGAGTTCATCTTTCAGATGCCTGTGCAACTGTAATTCATGGAAGAATGGGTTTTTACTTGGTGCATTGAATTAGGCATAGTTGTCAGAGCAAACACTGGGGGAAGCACTCAAGTGTTTAACAAGCACACTATGGACTGAGCGACGGCCGCGGGCGAGCAGAAAGCGCGCGCTGAGCGAAGCAGAGAAATTGTTTGTTGCATGTGGTTTGCGCTTATAAAGGGTAGAAACCAGCTATGGCTAAAATAACAACCTGGTTATTGCTGAAATAATGATCCGGAGCCGTTGTTGTTCTTGCTTCGCTGCAGCCGAGTTGCTCTTTCTCTCTTTCGTTTTTGCTCTTGCTGATTTAAAGATGACCATAGAGGTGAAATGACTCTTCTTTCTGCTTTTCCCCCTTTCACAGACTAGAGACGACTTCCTGGGCCAGGTGGATGTGCCGCTTAGCCACCTCCCGGTAAGCCCTGCTCGCGCCGCGGGCGCTCGGCGGCGGCGTGCCCTGCGCTGCCCTGTGCTGCAAAGCGGCCCCGGTCGCTGCAGAAAGCCCTTCAGTTGGAAATCCGTGGGCACAGGCAGCCGTTAGCTGATTTTCATCTTCTTTACAACAAAAACCCCAAAAGCACATTTCTATTCACAAAGTTTTTTATTTTCTTAATGTGTGTATATATATATATCACTTCTTATGCTTGTCATAAGTAATTTCTTCTATTTTATTGTATATTACTATATTTATAATATTATATTGCTAACAGCTTGGACAGAGTTTTGGTTTCCGTTAGCGTTTAGTAAATGTCGTAGAAGTTAAGCATGTTTATGGCGTGTGGAAAGTGGGAGAGTTTGTTTTGTGTTGGGATGCGTGAACGTGGCAATTGTGGAAGGTACTAAAAATGTTTATATCAAAATAGAAGTGTCGGTTTTAGCAGGAACGTTTTGTTTTTCCCAAATTTGTCCTCTCGCTGTTGATGGCCGTTGCTGTGGGAATGCTTTATAGTGGCTTTCACTTGGCCATGGGTATTTGGACGTGCTCTTGTTGGCTCAGACGTGGCGGTAGGTGACGAATACCCCGGGGGTCAGGACATTTCCTCCAGCGTTTCTGCTGCCTCTGTGCTGTGAATGTGCCTTGTGCGTCCCCGAAGTTCCGGGCAAGGTGTTTAATTTGCCATTTTCTTAATGCTGCAGACGGAAGACCCAACCATGGAAAGGCCGTACACGTTTAAGGATTTCCTTCTCCGACCGAGAAGGTGAGGGGCTGCTGGGCTGGTTACCTAGACGCATCTCGTGCTTCCCGGCTGCTGGCTGCAGCCAGTGACCTGTCCTCCTGCCTTGCAGCCACAAGTCGCGTGTGAAGGGTTTCTTGAGGCTGAAGATGGCTTATATGCCCAAAAACGGCGGCCAAGAGGAAGACGGCAGCGACCAGAGGGAGGAATCTGAGGTAGGGCCTAAACCGGGACCCCGCTGCTCTCCCGGCCTCTTTGCGCTGTTGATGCCCCCGGGGCATCAGAGAGACAGGGACAGTTTACATTGACAGGTCCAGCACACCGGGAGGAGTGTGTGCATACCAAATACTTCTGTGATATATATGCATACAGAGATGTGTATGAAAATTACATGTAATTACACACACACCAAAAGTAGCTAAATCTGACATTTGTATGCATTAAGAAATTTCTAAATGTAACATGAAATGTCTTTGGTACATAAGGTATCAGGAATGTAAAAGGTTCCAGTATATTTTTACGGGGATTTAGTAAGCAGATACTTTTATGTATAAAATATATCTCGTAATTGTTAATTGTTAGGAAGGCAAGAGTTTTTCCTCCAGAAGTTCATTTTCAGCAGCTGAGTGCAGTGCTGCTCTCCTGGCATGGGAGTTGCTCTCTTTCCGTATAATGTTGACTGTTTTGGTGTCAGAAGTGCATTTTTATGACTCCCATAAGATGTTGGTGAAATGCTTTTAGACACTTATAGCTCTGATTTAATTTTGAGGAATGGGGGAAGGGAATATTCTCCCTTCTAATTGAACTGCAGTAGGCAGTGGGAATGACAGGAGAAACTGTGGCCCGTGCAGTGTGAGGCAGGGGAAGAAAGCCCGCGTGTATCAGGTGTTGCCATCTGGCTTCCAGGACAGGAACCTGCGCCGGCCACCACCAGCCCTTGACCAGGTAGGTTTGGGCATCACTGTTGTGAGAGATGGATGAGACTTTAGGGATTTTTGTTGTTGAAATGAGGCACACTGTAGGTCACTCTAAGTGACTATTTGTGCACGAACACGTCACTTTGGAAAGTTTCAGAGTCTGGACCTATGCGCTGATGTAAGTAGCAATGATGTAACTTCTCCAACTTGATTTTTTTTTTCTTCTTCCCATTTCCAAGCATGGATGGGATGTGGTGGATTCCAGTGACTCTGCATCTCAGCGTCAGGAGGAGCTCCCCCCTCCTCCGCTGCCTCCCGGGTGGGAGGAGAAGGTGGACAACCTGGGACGGACCTACTATGTCAACCACAACAACAGGACTACTCAGTGGCACCGACCAAGTTTAATGTACGTGGCTGTGTAACGTGGTAATTAGTGGGGTGTGCCAAATTAGCCATAAGGGTAGTGTTTTTTTGTTCAGACCAGCATTACTGCTTTGAATTTAGAACTTCAAGGTTTATCAACCCATGAATCATGGCCTTGCTAATTGGAGCGAAGGCTAGAAGCAATATTGTTAAGTGGTAAAAATTCAAAATAAAACTTATGTGTTTAAAAGAAAACCTGTAAAAACACACAAAGTTTGCACCAATTCCACTGAAGTCAGTAGGCGTGTTTCTGTCTTGATGACGGGGTCAGACCCATGGAGGTGACCTCATCTTGGTGCTCATTGACTTTGGAGGTTCCCAGTGATCTCAGGTTTTTCAGACCTTATTTCATCTTTGGTAGAAAGGGAGCAATGAGGAAATCTTTATTAAATGGGTGACTTGATAACCCTGCTCTAGACACTGCACCTTGACAGGCTTCTCCTGGCCTTGGAGCAGGACTGTTACATGCGAGTACTGCATGGACTGCTGTGGTTGTGCATAGGAGACGTGCATAGGCTGTGCACAGCTGATGTGAAATGAGATTTGAGGCCCCTTCCACTGCACTTTGACTGTTTGGAAGAATACCAGGAAGGTGAAATGTTTGGGGTTTCCATTTGTTCCAACTCCACCCTCGCGTTCAGCTTTATGAAAACAAAGATTGTTCTTCGTTCTTCCTGCCGAAGGTCGTGTTCATGAAAGCGGTGGATGTGCGTCGCGGGCAGCCCGCACGG